CCTGTCCTATGCCGTCCTAACCTGTACAAGAAGAAAAGGGGAAAGTGAGTTTTGTTTGTAAAAGAGTCGTGCCAACTATATATGTGTTTGGGTGTGTGAGAAAATAAAAACGGTCCTTCTGCGAAAATCTGTCCAAAATTAGGTTACTCCGAGTCACCCGGCGTGAGTTCCAAGAAACCTTTTCATCAGCAGAGAGTCTTTCTAGTCAACAATGCTGATGAAAGGAAACCACCCCCATTGCGCTTAGATGAGAGCAGCGACCATGGCGACAGCGGCCAGGGCGCCAACGGCGTTCTGGGCTGCACCGGCCGTAAAGACCGGAGCAGGCGGTGCGGTGCTGGATGGTGGCATTATGGTGCCGTACGAAGGAACCGGCTTGGGAGTAGTAGCCGGAGGAGGAGGAGGAGGAGGAGGCGGGGGCGGGGCAGACGAAGACACGGCAGGTGGGGGAGGAGGAGGAGGAGGAGGAGGAGGAGACGGCATATAACTTGGGACCGGAGCCGGCGTCTCAACCACCGGGGGAGGAGGCGGCGGTGGAGGCGGGACGGTGGAGTAAACGGGAGGAGGAGGTGGTGGCGGCGGTAGCGGAGTCTCGGTCACGGGGCACACGGTGGTGCTCACGGGGATGGTGACTGTCGTGACCACGGTGCTGTGGGCCGGGCACTCGGTGTACACGGGAGCGCAGCTGGTGATGGTCTGGACGCTGGTCGTGTAGACAGTGCTGGTCGTCCACTTGGGAGGCCCAGGCGCCCAGGTAGGGAACGGTGGACCTCCCAGCGAGACTGAGGCGCTCGGTGTGAATACGGCGCTGGGGTAGCCATATTGGGGCGTGGCCGAAGCACCAGCGGCGAGGGCGGTGAGAGTGATGGCTGTGCCCTTCATCTTGGATATCATTCAAGGATGTTTAAGGAGGATGGGACTGAAAGGCTGAGGAGAAACGAGTGACTGCGACCTTGGTGCTGGGAGGATGGGAAAGGTATGATTCGAATCTGGGGAACGAGTTCTTGTCGATATATATACCCACCGAGAAGTACTGGGGGAACCAAGGAGGGGACATGACCTGATCGGCAGCTAGAATACCCCAGAGCCACTACTCGAGGGGGACAAGGCAAGAGTAGACAAGCTGCCAGCCTATGAGATGGAAGCAACAAATGACAAACAAACAGAGCAACACAGGCAGGGAAGTGTTGACGGCGAGCAGGTCAGCGGTTTTGCCGGCTAAACACCAGCAACATAGTGCTGTGACGATGTTTCTACATGGCTTTGGCCTGCGTTGGGCCTCGTGTGCCGGCATGTTCCAAGGGAGATGCAAGACAGGCCACGGCCCTCGGTAGCACAGCCTCGTCGAAGCAATATCTCGATATGGTCATGTTTATTAAAAGTTTCCAGTTAATCGTCGCCCCTTGCCTTGGGGAGAGGAAGGTCCCCCTAGCGATGGCCGATGTCACCACACCACGCCTGTCATGCACAATGGCACACCTGAGATCGATCTGTACCTGCATCCTAGCCCAGTCGCCCTGGGATGTTGACTTGACCTGCGGCAAGCCACACAAGCGGCGGTCACCAGCCCTGCGTCGTTGACTCAGAATAACGTCCAAGCACTCAGTCAAATATTTCCCCATCTCAGACTTTTCGGGACAAGGAAATTGCCCGACAGCGCAGATCATGATGTAGGCAAGGGGTGCCATGACAGGTCGCTGGACCTGTCAAGAGATGGGGTACGGGTGAACTTGGTCAACCAAAATAGGTCTTGAAGTTCAGCCGAGCAACCGGTTCATGCGATGGACTCTTCCCCAGCCAATGTCCCAAGGCCTTCCGCGAGGTTGACGACATCATTCTCCTAGCACTGGCAAGTAATAGCACTGCCAAGTATAGAGGGCTGGTTGTTCTCGACAAAATTCCAGACCTCCAGCTTCCTCTGGACGAGGATCAACACATCCCCTCAGTATGCCGCCCGCCATGTTTGGACCCTTCCAAGGCAGAACCATATCGTCCCAAGAGACGAGCCCAGTTTGCTTCCAGACCTGGTTGCCCGGCGTGAAGCGGGGTCATGGACCTTTGGAAGTCTTGGAAGATGGCAAGATATTGGCGGGCCCATAGATGAGTCCCTTATGGCCGACTCAATTCGGATCGGATTATTCGGTGACCCGGTCCCTCGTGTTCGGCTGACTGCATCTTGCAAATAAGCAGCCATTGTATTCTAGACGGCCACAAATGCAATCGGTGAAGAGTAACCCATGAGGCCAGATTTCACCACAAATGGGAGTGTCGCCTGGATAATTGAGGATAATACCTTAAAGCCACAGGTAGAATTTTCTTTTCCCGGCCGGAGAAAACGGTAGTTCGGTCCGGGGCGTCGTTGAGAACTCCGACCTCCGAAGCAATATCACCTCGTGGACATTCTCCGTCCGGGGGAGGAAGTGTTCTGGAAGAGGCACGAGAGGGTTCGATGCGACTGAGCTGTGCCACAAGGTGGCTAGAAATCTTGTTTCAACAGTTGTTTGGAGGGGTCGCCGTGGCTTTCGCCCCTGAAAACCACTACACCGGGTCTTGGCAGCCGGCCTACCGCGGGCAAGTCACCACCACTAGCCTCGATGGTACCGCGTACCGGACAGATCGAGACTGCGACACTATCCAACAGTTTTATCTTGCCAGTTGTTTCCATTCTCCCATTCGTTCTTTTTCTGTCTTTTTTTCTCGACTGTTCCCACCGTCTATACGTGCTGGTCGTGATAGATTTGTTTCGCCATTCATTTCAAGGGCTTAATTGGTGGAGTCCTGTCAGTGCTCAGTCTCGAACTTGCACTTGGGTAGCTGGTCCTTGTCGAAGCTCCTACCTGGCTCTCGGTATAAGTCGCATGATCGCATCAGCATCGTCATAATCGGCGCTTCCTTTGTATTCCTCGAGCGAGAGATCAATATCGAATCTGGCCGTAGGTAATGGCGCAACCGGTTGATGCCGCAACTCGCAAGCGAGTGCTGAAAGTCATATTCATATCCTTGTTGCTGGACCTGGTATGCAGACGCCCCCCCGGAGTCTATTGGGATTAAGCTTCTTACTGACAGCGTGTCTCAGATATCCTTCACATTCATTCTCCCGCTGTTCCCGAAGCTCCTCGAGTTCTATCGCAATGTCGAAGCTCCTCTCGATGCCTCGGCACCTCCGTCCAAGACAATACTTTCGAGCATTCTGGGGTACCTCAACGCATACAAGGCGGCGTTCGCCCGTCCGATAGACTCGCGATATGACATTGTATTGCTCGGCGGGGCACTAGGGAGCTTGTTCTCGTATGTTGATTCACTGCGGATAACTTGACTTGGAACAATCCCACCCTAACCGTCTTCACGTTTCCAGACTTCTCCAGGCAATTGCGTCGCCCGTCATTGGGCACCTGTCTGATCGATATGGCCGCCGTACCGCCCTACTTGCCAGCATGGCGGGCAACATACTGTCGGTCCTCCTTTGGGTAGTCGCAGTCGACTTTCGTACCTTTCTGGCGTCGCGCATCGTCGGTGGTCTGTCCGAGGGCAATGTCCAGCTTGCCACAGCCATTGCGACCGATATATCAGACACCAGTAGCCGTGGATCTACCATGGCGCTGATCGGCGCATGCTTCTCTATTGCCTTCACCTTCGGGCCCGCGCTGGGCGCTTGGCTCAGTACCATTGCCACTGTAGCTGCTAATCCGTTCGCAACAGCCGCAGCGGTATCGCTGTTTCTCATTGTTACAGAAACAATCTACCTCTACTTTAGCCTGCCCGAGACGCTGCCGTCGTTGACAAGAACTCCGGCGGCGAACGGCCATGACGACAAGTCGGTGAAGCCGACGCCGAAGACAGCTCCGGTCCAGAGGACGAACTCGCATTTCCTCCTCAACTTCGTGCACCTCACCTTCCTCCTTTTCTTCTCGGGCATGGAGTTCTCGCTCCCCTTCATGACGTACGACTTGTTCGGTTACAGCTCTAGCAAGAATGGCAGGCTGCTCGGCTATGTTGGCCTGGTTGCCTCGCTCTTGCAAGGCGGCGTTACTCGTCGGCTCCCGCCCCTGCTCTCGGTGAGGATTGGAGTATCGGCCTGTCTCGTCGCCTTCATCATCCTCATGCGCGCCTCCACGGTGTCCGGACTTTACCTGGCTGCCACGTGCTTGGCCGCTACGTCAGCAACGGTCGTTACGGGTCTGAATGCTTTGAGCAGCTTCGAGGCGAATGAGGGTGAGCGTGGGGGGAAGCTTGGCATCCTCAGGAGCTGGGGTCAGCTAGGAAGAGGCCTTGGCCCGGTGCTCTTTACCAGTGTCTACTGGTGGGCTGGCAGAGAGGCTGCCTATGGCATGGGCTCTCTCGGCATTGCGTTTGTGGGTCTGTTGGTCTTCTTTGGGGTGAAGACGCCTCCTGGGTCTGTCAAGGTTAGGTCGAAGGCGCCGGCTGTGGGTGAGAAGAAGGAACTGTAGTGTATGTACAATGATATATGCTGTGTATAGTGACGTGATATATATTGACTTGCAGTTGGATTCGATCAGTTTCTGGCGTTGTACATAGAGGAACGAGCAGCTTTTCACACTGTTATACTATCTTGTTTACTTCATCGGTCTTGCAATGGCTGATTATTGTTGATGATGGGTACTGTATGCTTTGTGACACCAGTCTGCGTGATTCAAGGGCTGACAGAAACAGGCAGCAATCGTTTCTGCTGTAGCTATCCGCCCCAACAAAAACAAGCAAACATTCGCTGGAAAAGTGTGAGCCGCAGTAGGCACGAAGCTACTCCTTGTTCACAGTCTTAGACCTGGCTGTGTCTTCTCTGTTACCGAGCAGAGATGGAGACCAAACACCCTCATCAGACGAAAGGGCCCAATGGACCACGGCGCAACTGATGGTAATGGGTGTATAAGCCATCGTTTGGGGCACAATCCTCAACAAAAAAGGCAAGCGGCATAGTAAATCGCAACGCAGGGTGGCCGAGCGGTCTAATATGTCACTTGTCTCTTGCCACAAGCAAAGAGGCCCTCGTGGAGAAATGGTAACTCGCCAGACTCCTAATCTGGATATTGCGGTAAGTCCCCTATAATCAAGATACTGCTTTCATTCACAATCCATACTAACAAGAGCAACAGGGTTCGAGTCCCGTCGGGGGTGTGGTTTCTATCTTTTTTGGCTCTTTTTTTTATTTTCTGTCTTTTTTTTATCCATAGTTATCGTCACTACACTCTTTTATTTCGTTGTCTATTTCTATGGTTTTGCCCTCTTATTTATTAATCGTGCTGAAATATCTGGAGTTCTTGTTGGTAAGAGTATTGACCCCGATATCCATAGTATGCCGACCGGCGTGGAGAACCTTTCCGAAGGTTGGTGGTAAATGAGGCCTCTCCGACCCGAATCTTGGCCCGATGCCGAAATTCTCCACAGATCACCACACTTCCGGCCGCCGGCCATTTATCGGCATCTTCATCATCTCAAGCGGGAACCTGCCCTTTACTTACTCATGTCACCACATTTCGTGGCAGGCCTGAAGCGTAAAAGTAAGAAAATCAATATCATCGTGAACACCATCATCGTCGAATCCTAAAGAAGGATTTGTTTTCCTGCCTTGGCTGGCTATTCTCTCTCTCACGATGACGCGCATGACCAGCCCGGGCCATCTTCTAAAATTTATCTTGCTGTTCATCATTTCATACCGAACCTCAACCACATCAGCGTCTCTCTCCGACCAATTTGACCCCCGAGGCGCAACAATCCCCAGCATCCACCACGCCCTCCTCCTCACCAAACAAGCAACATGTCGCGAAATAGTATCGGCCTTCCTCTCCCGAATAGAAACCCTGAATCCCTCCATAAACGCCATAATCTCTCTCAACCCGGAAACCCTCACCATCGCAGACCAAATCGACAACAACCAAATCTCAACCGGCAACAACATGAGTACAACCCAGAAACTGCTTTGCATCCCCGTCCTGCTAAAAGATAACTTTGACGCCATCCCAATGGCAACAACAGGCGGCTCCCTGTCCCTAGCAAACAATTATCCCGCAAACGACGCCCCAACAGTACAAGCACTAAAAACCAGCGGCGCTATAATCCTAGGCAAGACGAACCTCCACGAAATGGCCTTGGAAGGGTTGACAGTCTCGTCTTTGGGCGGACAGACGATTAATCCGTTCGATTTTACGAGAACACCGGGGGGTTCGAGCGGTGGGAGTGGCGCTGCTGTTGCTGCTGGGTTTGCGCTGTTGGCTACGGGGACGGATACCATGAACTCGCTGCGGAGTCCGGCTAGTGCGAATGGGTTGTTTAGTTTTCGGCCGAGTAAAGGGTTGATTTTGAGGGAGGGGGTAATTCCTGTGAGTGAGACGCAGGATGCTGTTGGGGCGATGGCGTGGGATTTGGGGGATTTGAGGGTTGCGTTTGAGGTTATGGCTTCTACAGCTGAGGATGGTGCTGCAGAGTTTGATGATGATTCGATGGTGGCTGGGAAGAAGAAATTATCCGAGATGAGGTTTGGTGTCGTGGATGGGTTCTTCAACCACACGGCGTCGGGGGAAACTACACCGGTCAACGACCTTATGAAAGGCATGCTAGCGGCACTGGAGAGGTCTGGGGTGGGAATAGTCAACATCACAGAGGCGGTTTATAACATTGACGACTTGTTGGCTTTGGATGTCCAGATGTACGAGTTCAGGGAGCTACTAGACGAGTATCTCGGCCGACCAAACGTTGAGAATGGTGAATATCGCCCATCGCATTTTGAGGAGCTCTACGACCCCGAGAAGGAGAGGTTCCTTGTTATACCGCGCCATTACGAGAATATACGCAAGGCGCTGGTCTCGTCGACGAGAGAGCCCGACTACGCGGATAGGAAACAGAAAATCACGGAGCTGACAAAGACGCTGGAGGATACGTTTCTGAGGAACGACCTAGATGCGTTGATCTATCCCGAGCAGAAGAATCTTGTGGTCAAGATCGGGTCCGAGTCGCAACACGGTAGGAATGGGATTCTTGCCGCTCTGACTGGGTCCCCGGTCGTTACCGTGCCAGTGGGATTCTCACCAGCTACGGAGGACGCGCCCCTGGGAGTCCCTGTGGGCATGGAGATTCTCAGTCGGCCGGGAAGTGATATGATGTTGCTGAAGCTGGCGCAGGATGTTTACGACGAGGTTGGGATTGTCGGGCCTGGGGAGAGGAGAATTCCGGCCTGGGCCGACGTGTTTGTCGAGCCCAAGATTTATGAGAAGGTGCCTGATATTAGGCCCAATAGGGAGAATATTCCTCTGGAATATCCTCTGAATGTGTTTTGAGGAGGTTCATCACGGACCTTTTGTTTCCTTGATTCCAACCACCCAGTCTGGTGGTTCTTATACGCACATGCATGAAAGCCTCCGCCCCAACCGCCAGAGCATCGTATTACAAACACAGAAATATTCCGAGCTGCAGAGATACATTATCGTGAGTGGCTCGTCGGTGGATTTTGTGCGCCTGCTTTACTCACTGCATCACTCCCGGACATATTGGCACACCCACAACCACTACCTCTTGCACTCGACAAAGCACAAGAAGATGTCTTCTCACTGCCACAGTCTCTCCATGTCTCATCGTCTTGGTTCCTTCATCTGGATGAATCTTGTATGTTACAGCCGGATCACGGCAGCCAGCGTCGTAGTCTACACAAATCCAAATCCGAGAGCTCGGATCCGTTGACCGATATTTTTCTCTCATGGATATCCCCAAGCAAGCACATATACCGCCGAATGTTCATTCGGCGTAACATGGCGTGTGGTACGGAATTTGGTTGGTCAATGTCGATGCCGATGAAGTCAGCATACGAATCTCCAACCAGGTGGTTTCCCGATATCGAATATTGCACATCCTCAGACCTCATGCGGGCCCCGTATGATGGCCCTCGTCAGCGTCTCCCGCGCTTGATATCAATGTGCGAGGACTGGAGGAGGCCCAAGTCCTCAAGTATGACGACCTCCCCAGTCCCGGACTATCCTCCAGTCGTCCTACAAAGAGCTTGTCTTTAGAGCCGAGAGAATATCCCAGGGCTTGTGTTGCCCAAAAGCAGAGCCATGGCCATTGAACATGTCCTCCAGAGCCTGTCGTATCTCCATCTGGGTGCCATAGCTGGTGTCGCCATCACAGGTTACACCCTCTACGGCATTATATGGCGACTCTACTTCAGCCCTATCGCTCATATACCAGGCCCAAGGCTCGCCGCCATAACCTGGTGGTACGAATTCTACTATGACATTATCCTGAGCGGCCAGTATACCTTCAAGATTCTCGAGCTGCACAAGCAGTACGGTCCCATCATTCGGATTAACCCCGACGAGGTCCATATTGGGGATCCCGACTTCTTCCCACAGTTGTATCCAGCTTCGAACAAGCGGAGAGAGAGATGGAGGTTTTGGACCAAGCAGTTTGGGGCTGATGGTTCGTACCTCTCACCAGTTGTAACACCAGATTCGGGCGGCAAAGGTAATAATACTGACAATGGTGACGCTCTTGTAGGAAGCGGCCTGAGTACCATCGACCATGACCTTCACAGGATCCGACGCGCGGCGATCAGCCCATTCTTTTCACAACGGAGCGTGAGAGACCTACAGCCTGTCATCGAGGAGAGAGTAGACACCCTGCTGGCTCGATTTCATGAGCATGGGAAGGCCTCACCCGAGATCCCATTGGATATGTTCTATCCTCTCTCGGCTTTCACAAACGGTACGCAGAACAAAGATGGTATCCCAAGATGCTTGGCTAACATGTTGCACGTTGTATTAGATGTGATTAACGAGTACAGTTTCGCCAGGTGTGACCATCTGAGTACGTACCAGCGCCAGTGCCACCATTCCTGATGGTGACAAGAACACTGACAAGTATGATGCCTCAAGCTGAGAAACCGGACTATGGGAGGAGCGTCACAGACTACCTCCTTACCGGGACTCATTACGGGTAAGCTATCAATCACATCCTAACACCATTCATGAGATGGTCCCGTTCGTTGACATCAATTTCACCCGCCAAAAACAACAGGAAATGGATCCAACACATTGAGCTAATCCTAAAATTCATCAACTTCCTCCCCGACTCAATATCATCAACCCTTGTCCCAGGCTGGAACGAATTCCTCAAAGCAAAAAGAGACATCCTCGACCAAATCTCCTCCATCAAGCAAACAGAGAACACCCCAAAATGGCAGCTAGACGTCTCCCACCCCACAATCTTCCACGACCTGCTCTCCTCGGAGATCCTCACCCCACAAGACAAGGCCGTCTCGCGTCTAGCCCAAGAAGGCCAAATCGTCGTGCAAGCCGGCACGCTAACAACATCATGGGCCCTCACCATAGCGATATTCTTCCTCCTCGAGCAAAAGCCCCTACTAGCAAAACTGCGACGTGAGCTATGTACCGCAATCCCCGACCCCAACGCCGTCACACCGCTAGCAACACTGGAGCAACTCCCCTACCTCCGCGCAGTGATCAAAGAAGCATTCCGGCATTCGATCGGCACAAGCGGACGTCTAGCTCGGGTCTGCCCAGATGAAACACTTACATATATCGACAAGTCTGTAGAGAATAAGGCGCCGAAACTATACCATATCCCGCCCAACGTACCAATCAGCATGACGACATACAAAACCACAACAGACGAGTCCATCTTCCCCGACCCCTTTGCCTTCAAGCCAGAACGCTGGTTACAAGGTGACAGTGAGCATCAAGCAAGATTAGATGGCTACCTTACAGTCTTTGGCGGCGGCGGGAGGTCTTGTCTCGGACAGGCGCTGAGTTATGCCGAGTTGACGCTTGCATTGGCCAAGATGTTTAGAGTCTGGGGGGCTGCTGAGGATGACGATGATGAAAATAGTAGGGGAGATGGAGATGATTCACAACCTGAACGGCCTTCTCAAACTATGAGGATTGCCGAGGGGACCACCGCCAAAGACACGAGGATGGCCGAGGACTGGTTTATTCCCATCCCTTGGAGGGGATCAAAGGGTGTGAGGGTTTATTTCAAGAGTAATTAGTTAACTGCCAGGGATGTGGGATCGCTCGTTATCAAAGAAGTCAAGCAGCAGCAGCAGTGAGGACGGATCACCTGAATTGTGGCCTTTGGGCAGGCAGGCAGGCGCTCAATACAGAACATAA